TTTTTTTTTTTTTTTTTTTTTTTTTTTTTTGAACACAAACCGACTTGGATGTCATGATCAGGTTTTCTAAGCTACAGGCACAGTCGTTGTGATCCTAAGAGACTCATTGATCACCTGAAACAGAACTACTAAGAGCATGTTTAATGCAGACATGGGAACCTAGGAAATTTTTATTATTATTTTTTTGTTTAAATTTAGAAAATAAAAAAAAAAACAAATCAATTGTGGATCGTCATTTATAAATATGACCCACAAACAGTGCATACAACTTACAATAAACGTCCCTTAGTGTAGCTCCGTAACACTCGTTCCTTGATAAAACGTTGGACCCCACCAATTCTTTATTAATTCTTTTGTTAAGAGATCAATACTAAGTATGTCAATAGAAGCAGGATGATGGATACTCTTTAAATTGACATTTATATTATAAAACTGAAGTACATTTTGGTACTGTTTCGAAATTAAGATAGCAGAATAAATGAGAATAATTTGGAAACATGAATAATAGATTGTGTATTTCCTTTAATGAGCACATTTAGTCATTATACTTACGATAAATTAAATATTTTTTTATATTTTTTTATTTCCAAATTCTGCCTTTGCATTTAAAATTAATTTAAATTAATTAATTACAAAAGTTCTTTTTTATGGTGAAAATATAAACACAAACAGAAATATATATAGTATATATTATATAAAATAATTTTAAAATATAATATTACCTTATTTAATTTAGTCAAATATTAAATTTTGAGAGTTTAAGTTTCACAAAAAAAAAAAGAAAATACCATAAATTAATGATAATTCATAGAAAATTAATATAAAAATTATTTTTTAGTATGTTGTTTCATTTTAAAATAAATTAAAAAAAAAACAAAATGTCAATATTTGAATAGTACAATTACATCAAATTGTATCAAGTTATGAATTTCTAATATAATATTATATACAAATAAAAAATATTATTCAAAATTAAAATTAAAATAATATATTTTACTCTATATGTAAATCACAAAACATTAAAAAAAACTTTTTTATAAAATAACGGTTTATGAGTTTACGTTGAACACAAGTTAAATCAAACACACGCATGAGGGTGTAGGTCAAATCCTAGTCTAAACTAATAAAACCGAAGTACAATTTAAAATTAACCCTAAGTTTTCCTAATATTTACCATCATATGCCACTAGTCTTATTTAAAACATTACTAAACCACACTAATTAAATTGGAGTAATTCTTGGGTTCACCCCCTAGGGTAAACCTCTAGGTTCACCCCCTACGGTAAACCTCTAGGTTCATCAACCAATAAGATTATGTTATTTTATATTCAGTATCTTTTTAAAAAGTAAACAAAATATTGTCAAATTATATATGTTTTTAAAATTTAAAGATAAAAATAAATAAAAAATAATAATAGTTGCAAAAAAAAATTAAATTTTTTTTAAAACTATTATCAAAACACTAAACCCTAAACCCTAAATCTTAAACCTTAAAACATTTCTATAAACCCTAAACTCTTGGATAAATCCTAGACTTTAAAAAAAAATTAATATCGTCACCAAAATACTAAACTTTAAACCCTAAACCTTTGGGTAAACTCTAAGCCCTTGGATTAATCATAAATCCTAGGATTTAAGATTAATCCAAAGGTTAAGGATTTACCCAAGGGTTTATGGTTTAGAATTTAGGGTTTAGTGTTTTGCTGACGGTATTAAAAATATTTTTTTTTTAAGTTTTTTTTGCAATTACTATTATTTTTTATTTATTTTTATCTTTTAATTTTAAAAACATAATATAACTCGATAATATTTTATTTTCTTTTTTAAAAGATATTGAATATGAAATAATGAAATCATATTAGTTAATGAATCTAGAGGTTCACCTAGAGGATGAACCCAAAATATTTCTCACTAAATTGATGGGAAAATTGCCTATTTCAACCTGAACTTTACCAATTGTGCCTATTCCTTCATGAACTTTGTTGTGGTGCGTATTCCATACTGAACTAAACAAAAACTTAAAAATACTATACGAACTTTACAGATTTAACTATTAAAACAGAAGTACAATTTAAAATTAACCCTAGTTTTTCCTAATATTTACCATCATATGCCACTAGTATTATTTAAAACATTACTAAACCACACTAATTAAATTGGAGTAATTCTTGGGTTCACCCCTAAGGGTAAACCTCTAGGTTCACCAGCCAATAAGATTATGTTATTTTATATTCAGTATCTTTTAAAAAAAGTAAACAAAATATTGTTGAATTATATTATATTTTTAAAATTTAAAGATAAAAATAAATAAAAAATAATAATAGTTGCAAAAAAAAAAAAAAAAATTTAAGACTACTATCAAAACACTAAACCCTAAATCTTAAACCTTAAAACCTTTCTATAAACCCTAAACCCTTGGATAAATCTTTGACTTTTTTTTAAAAAAAATTTAATACTGTCAGCAAAACACTAAACTCTAAACCCTACAACTTTGAGTAAACTCTAAACCCTTGTATTAATCATAAATCCTAGGATTTAATATTAATCCAAAGGTTAAGGATTTACCCAAGGGTTTAGGGTTTAGAATTTAGGGTTTAGTGTTTAGAATTTAGGGTTTAGTGTTTTGCTGACGGTATTAAAAATATATTTTAAAAAAGTTTTTTTGCAATTACTATTATTTTTTATTTACTTTTATCTTTTAATTTTAAGAACATAATATAACTCGATAATATTTTATTTTCTTTTTTAAAAGATACAGAATATGAAATAATGAAATCCTATTAGTTAATGAATCTAGAGGTTCACCTAGGGGATGAATCCAAAAATTTCTCACTAAATTGACGGGAAAAGGCCTATTTCAACCTGAATTTTACCAATCGTGCATATTCCTTCATGAACTTTGTTGTGGTGCGTATTCCATACTGAACTAAATAAAAATTTAAAAATATTATATGAACTTTACAGATCGTGCATTTTTCTTCATGAACTTTATAGTAGTGCATATTTCACACTGAACTAGACAAAAATAAAAAAATAAAAAAAGAACTCTTAAAATCGTGCTTATATATAATCCGTCAATTTTTTCAGTCATCCGTTAGTTTATCAAAATGATGTCATTTTAGATCAATTTTATAAAATTAAAACTACTACATAAACTTGCAAAATCATGCTTATATATATATATATATTAATCATAAAAGATATTACTCATCAGTTAATTTATGAAAACAACATCGTTTTGGATAAATTCTATAAAATTAAAAATATTTTTTTGGGAGGTTCAAACTTTCACACTGGTGGACAAGTAAGAGCATATTAATTGCTAGATCAAAGTAACTTTCTTGTATAAATTATGTGAACATTAACTTATATAAGTTTTTAATCAAATAAATGTTATCAAATTTTTTGTTTTTTTTTTTAATTTATCAAATCAATTTATAATTGTTTATGTTTTAAATTTAAATTTACAAATAATTATTTTTTAAAATTTAACTTAATTATTATTAATTTAAATATTTCATTTTATACTTGTCCATTAGTGTGAGAATTCGAACATCCCATAATTTTTTTAGTTTTATAGAATTTATCCCAAATGGCGTTGTTTTGATAAATTAACAGATGATTAATCTTGATGATCAATATATATAAGCAAAAATTTAAGAGTTTGCGTTGTATTTTTAAACTAATTTACAGAATTTATAAAAAAAAATAATGTAGTTTTGATAAATTACCGAATGTGTAACATCTTTAATGGTTAGTATTTTAATGTTCTTTCTTGCCTGCATGGAATATAACTATCACGACGTCTATCGTT